TCAGCAAAGATGTTGCACAACCAGCTACTGACCACCCAGAGCTATTCTGTTTAGGCTGGATGCCACCCTTTCTGGGCAAGCGTACAGATCATGTCTTGAACTGTGCCAGACACGCTGTTTGTGGTTCCTTTTCTGCTTATGAGCCTGGCTGAACAAAAAAGGCTGTATATATATGTATATATGTACCAGTAGTGTTCGTGTTACATACAATCTGACACCCGGTAGATACTCCCTGGGGATTGTAACGAGGCACCCACTGCTATACAGCATGTTTTGGCATCCGGGAGGGCTGGCGAATCCCATGCCTGTCTTTCTTCTTCAAGTCTTTTGAGTTTCTTTTTGGCATATACGTGCAACGAAGCACAAGATGCAAATACTGCCAAAGCTCCTTGTAGAATAGATGACATTTATATTGTTATGCAGTTTGCTGATCTAAACATACCATTGCCTTGCCTTGATAGCCCAGGGCAAGTGCTAATCAGCTTGTTTCGTGGGCACCATGCCATCTGAAAGGGTGAACACAAATAGAGACAGTATGTGCATCATCTAGGAGTGTTGCAAGAATACGATTCCCAGCTGAGAGTATCGAAATGTGTCTGTCTCCTGAGCTTGTATGTTGGCATGTAAAAGATAAGTGACAGCGTTAAATATAATGTATTTGGAATAAATCAAGGTTATATTCCTTAGCTGCTTCAAGCTAGTTTTTATTATATAGGTCACATCATCAACTGATGTAAGTTAGCATAGCTGCACTGAAAGTAGTGCATTTTTATCTGCTGAGCATCTGGCCCCATGTGCCTGTTCTCCATGAGAAGCTTTTCTTATTTGGCCCTCTAGGGCATCATCAAAGGCTGTTTAGGCTAAAGGTAACATGTAAGATGAGGAGTTTGGGTTCCTATATTGTCTTCAGAGCTGACACTTGATGCTGAGCAATTTGCCCTCTGAGTGTCTGTGTGCTTTGATTCACCTAGTGTATGTAGCAGTACTTTTATTTAATTAGTACCATAGCACTAAGGGCGTGAAGCAAGGTTTGCTGGAATGGCAGGCATGGTGGAACAGTTCCCTTAACTGCAGTGTTGCAATGGATAGATGGACACGGCTCTTTGACTATGACATACATGGAAAACAAGGGCTGTATTTTGTGCAGAGGAGTAGCAGTGGGTGTTGAGGAGTTTCTGGATCAGGAGCTGTGCAGAGGCCCACAAAGAGGGTGTCATGGTGGGCATCTCCTATGAACCACCTGATTGAGAGGAAGAGCTGAGTGAAGCAACTTGAAGAAAAATCTTCTGTCAATAGATTCAGTTTTGAGGTTTGCCTTGTTTTGAGTAGAAGGATGCCTGAGGTGACTTCCAACAGTCTTTTACAACCTCCACGTGAAACCCTGCTCTTCCACATATCTCTGTGACTCTCAGGGATTTGCTCTGGATTAGTGGACAGACGAAGTGTATCCTCTCCATCCGCACCATCAATAACATCTGAAGTACCCTCAGTGCCATCCCCTGCCTTCATTTGGCTGGTTTATGTTTTGTCCCTTCCTTCTTTGTGTGCTTTTCTTTGCACCCATTTCCCTATTTGCTTGCTTGTTTATTCCTCAGATTGGATTTTTCCTGCCATGTTTTCAGGAAAACACAGTCTGTGGGTATTACACATAAACAATTACATTTGAAAACCCCCAAAGATGCACTGAAAGCGGATACTTGCATGAAATAACAGGGGACTTTGGATGTGCAAGTAGAACTCTAATAGCTGGCTTGAATTTGTTTTGGTAATCTGGCCCTTATCCCAGCCTTTTTGAAAGGTAATCATCGTTCAAAGAGAGGTTTTCATTCACTGTAGCGTACACTTTATATTTCACTGTGTAATGTAACCTTCCATACACTCAAGGAAAACAATTTCCAGAGCTAATTGCTGAACTCTGCAGATCTAATACTTTAAATGGGTTATGTTAGATAAGAATTGAAAAAGAAGAAACATTCTGGGGGAAAATTATTGTTTAGGGAACATTGATTTGTGTGAATTAATGTTTTCACTTTAGCTGATAGTTAAAAATGGATACTTAAGCTAAGCCACATTTTTAGTGTAACATTAATGCTTCATTAGCTATAAACCTAGTCTGCAAGCTGACGTCCCTTGTTTGTTTGCTTTCTTAAGTCTTCAAACTCCAGTTGTCATTTTGTCAACCTGTGCCACAGGTTTTATATTGATTTTAATGCAAAACAACCCTATGGGGTTGTTGTTGTTTAATGGGCTCAGAGATGGGAGGATGCTTTGAAGTTCTCATTGTTACTTATTCACTTTAGACAATCCTCTCCACCTTTCTGTCTCAACCTTCTTATCATTAAAATTAGGGGCAGTGTTAATGATCCTACCCGACACAGAGATTGTAGAAATTAACTGATGGCTACTTGTGTAATACAGTATTTGTACAAAGGTGGTGTGTTACTTGTACTGCAGGAGCAGCCATCTGTCACACACATGCATTTAGGCTGCAATGACCATTTTGGGCTTGGGAAGTTAAGTAATTTTCCCACAACTGTTTATTTGTTTTTTTTTTCTTCTATTTTTGTTAACTGTTTGTTGTATTTTAATTCAGAATATAGCCCAGGTCTGTAACTGCTATCGGTTATGGTGGGTTTATTGGCCCTGTAGTTTGGGGTTGTAGCACAAAAGTGTCTATGTAAGGGGTCAGCACTGTTTAAAAGTTGTTAGTAATAAACTAGACACAACGTTTGAGTTTAATTTCAATTTGTTTTCTCCCATGTAGCCGCATGTTGGTGACAGACTGAGAGAGAAGGAATAAATCACAGCGCTGCGACTTAAAGCAGCCCAGTCAAATAAAGGGTATGTGTATTTGTTTTCCATAGTTCTCTTTAATTACCTTGTAATTCCTGTCATGCTTACCTTGGTTGTGTTTAAAGGAAGGTTGTATCTGAAGGAGAGACTAAGGATATGATATTTAGGTGAGGCCAGTCTTAGGCAGTGGAAGTAGAAATATGACTGTGGAGCTGTCCTTAGCCAGTGGAGCATTGAGAGAGTGGATTGGGACTTGTAGGAGCCTGGCTCCTCTCACAGTCAGCAGAGCCTCTTGCTAAGGCTCGCAGCTTCTGTGTTAGGAAGCTCTGCTTCTCTACAGGTAAGGCATATGCCTAAAGGTCAACAAGAACCTTGAGGTGCCTAGCTGTCCCTCTGCTGATTTCAGCAGACCAACACTGGAGAAGTAACGCAGCCCACCCTGATCTCAGTTGAGAGACACTGGCTCTTGATCAAGTTGTACTGAAAAGCATGTCCGCTGCTATCAGCTGGGCTCTCATGCACTTACCAATGTGCTGAAATACCTCAGTTCTCCAGGCCTAGGCTGACTCTCTATTTAGGCATGTATCAGGTTTTCAGCATGTGAATAGAGCTGGGCTATCCAGCAAGCAATGCCTCAGTAAAATGCGGACATCACATCTAATTCCACTACTGAGTGTGAATTTCCTTCTCTTTCAGGATCTACCAACACCGGTGAAGTCCCTTCTGTCAACCACACAGCAGAAACAGCCTAAGGAGGAGCTGTTTATAGGTGAGATGCTCAGCATCAACGGAAGCAATTAGCTTTTTGCTCCTTTCTGTTAGAAGGACCTTAAGAATTGTGAATTGAACTGATAATTAAGAGCTCAGAAGCTTTATAAACTGTTGCTATATTTGTACAGTATTTGTACCAAGGTACGATAAGGCTACACTGTATTATACAAGCCCATTGCGTTTGCATGGTTATCTTATTTCTCCTTTCTCTCTTTCTATTCTGTGACTTTTTATTCTTTGGGTTACCTCCTGCTACATCTTTTGATCTGTTGCAGCTAAAATTGATCTCACCTGTGCATTTAACACCGTAACTTTAAAGGCATTCCTGTGTTTCTAAATGAGTATCAGTATGGTACAGGCACTGTGTGGGGCACTGAAGGAGAATGAAGACCGGCGGGGTGGACTTAGTGTTGAATTATCATGTAGCATGGAGGTAATTCAAAGAACTAATCAGAGACAGACATAAAAAGCAGTTATCTTCTGGAATGCAGGAAGTCAGGTAGAATGAAAAGCAAACCTGAAAACAGTGAATCTGTTTTACATCAGTGAAGGCAGAGGAGTCCTACCCAGGATTAGTTCGGCCGTTGTCAGTGCTCAGTGCTGCAGATAACATGAATTCCATAGCAACGAGTTTTTAACTTGAAGTTCCTGGGTGCAAAGATGCATATTAATGAGCAAATGGACTTGAGTTTCATCGAGATCATTAAAAAGTATCTTTACTTTATTTTTCCACCCACCATCCTGCTCAGAAAATGGACTTATTTATGAAGTCCTTAATTAAGGATGAAAATTTCATGTTAGACAGATGCTGTCATTTTCTTCCTACCCTTCCAGCAAAAAGCCATGTGTAATGTGCTGCATTGGGCTCGGAGGCTGAAGAAGGGGTTGTTAGTGATAAGCATCTGCAAAACCTGTAACACATGCCCAGGAGCTTAGTCAGATGAGTCAGATGTTGCATGGGCCAAGTTTAAGCCCAGAGAGAATGTTACAACACAGGAAGAAACCCCTGAAAATAACAGGAATTGGTACAGTATTTGGGCTGTAAACACAGGTTAGAACAGTCTGGGTATTTGCTTTCATCCTCTCTTATTCTATTTTGAATTCCAATGTTCCTGCTTGCTAAACCACTTTCCATTTCTGCTCTGTTTTACCGTGACATAAGGAGAAGGGATATTTTGGAAGCTGGAAAACGGCCACTTGCACCAGAATGGCATGCCACTAATTTTTGCAGGTTTTTTGAACTGAGCATTGCCACTCTGAGAGCTCTGTCAGCCTCTTCTTCTAGGATTCCCCACAGAGATCCTCGCCCTCCTACAAGGCAGGACATGCCCCGGGTTACAGTCCCTTTCTCTGTAGGCTGTGCTGCCCCACTTGCTTCAAAATCAGGCTCTTTGAAATGAGGAACTGAATAGCCCAAAAGATCAGGCTTGCAAGTGCATCCTTAGGGTAGACAGGATGAAAAATGACTTTGCAGTGTGTACTGATGTAGTTTAGCATCATTGCAAGTAAAGGTCAAGCAGAAAAGTCCAACTTTCCATGAGGGTGGTCTCCATGATAGGTTTGGCTTTATGGCAGCAAGGTGGCAAGAAACCATGTGTGTAGCATGTGGCCTGGCCTGGAATAGAGGTATTTGTGGCAGTCCTAGCCAGGAACATGCTTGATGACGGGCCTTTCAGTGGCTGATGTTGCACAGCAGCTTGTGGTAAAGCAACCTCAATGGTGGGTATCATGAAATACTACAAGGGTCTTGATTTGCACCTTTGCCTACTTCTGCTCTGCCATATATTTGGGTAGAGTTTAGCAGGCAAGACGGTTAGCCACATTGAGGGAGAACCTCAAAATGTGCACAGTGATATAGCGAAGCCTCTTTTACAGAGGGACAAACAAATCTCACTTCTACTTCTTTATTTTGTCTCCTTTGAGCAGAAATTCGGGCAAGCCATTTAATGTCACCTAGTGAGTTTTAATGGAGGCTTGGAAGAGGAAGAAAAAAACCCCTCCTGTGTCCACTTGTTCCCTAGGTACGCCACATTACCCACAGCCGGTCTCACCACTCCCAGCAAAAGTTTGTGTAAGTCCTAAAATAATTTCATTCCACTGGCCCACAAATATTCCCATTTGGTCAGCCTTATATAGAGTAATTACTGTTTAACATGGCACCGCAGCCGGGTCAGGGCTTATTTTGGGTTATGGGTTATAAAAAGCTGCTTGAAAAAAAGGAATGTGTTTGTGGATCTGTCACTCTGAACAAATGAGTCCAGAAACTTGTTAGTTTACTCATTTTCTTTCACTTGTTTTGCTTTAAGAGTCAGCACTCATAAGAGCACTGGCGTTAGTACCAAAGGCATCCAGCCATCTCGTCCCGGCTTGCGTAGATATGCCCGCACTTCAATTACATAAAGTGTAATTGTTGGGTGGGCAGGTTTTGTGGTGATACTGAGTATTGTGGGGTGGCTCATGCTCAGGGACGGGGGTCAAGGTTTAACCAGTGGAGACATGGGAAGTTCATTTTTGTGAGCAGGTGATAGGTGCGATGGGTGGGAAACGTCTTGGCTCTGTGCTCTCCTCCACAGAGGTCTTTGCATTTTATGTGCCTCGAGTGCTGTGCAGAGCAGGCAGTTCATTCCCACAGCTGTGCTGGGGTGCAATTAGCATTTTTCCAGACCAGGGCAAGTCCCACATCAAAGATCCTTCTAATTTTAATAACTTTGATCTATACATATAGATGCATGTGTCTTATGTTTGTGCATATATGGATAGATATGTCTGTATAGCTAGAAAAAAAGGAACATATGGCTGCATATATATACGTGTGTCATTTCTTGTCTGCTACTAAAATACAGGTGTCTCTGTGGGAAACAAGTTGTTAAGCTGTTTATTGTACGAGAGTTCAGGAAGTTGAGAGTATTATATTCACTTATATGGTTTTCCATGCTGGGTTGGTCATTTCAGCTCAAAAATTAGTATCCCAGTCTATTTCACAGAAGACCCCAATATTTTTTGTAATCATAGGAAAGAATGCTGCCCACTGGGACAGAGCAAGAGGCTATGGATCAAGAACAAAGGGTTTGGTTGTCCTTTTCTACTTACTTTATGGCCTGGGACAATTCTTAGCACTCTTCTGTGCCTCTATTTAATAGCAAAATGGGACTAGTAACATTGAGTTACCTTGCACAGAGCTATTTAAAGATGAAATTGAAGTTTCGAGACCTTTTACTAGCCTTTGGCATCAGAGACATAGAGCAGCTATGAGAAGTGTTCCTGTGGCTTGGCTTTATTAATGATACGAACTTCTTGAGAAGTTATATTAGTGAAGTGGAACTGAGAAACAAACCAGAAGCAGATAGGCAGAAATCTAACCCTTTCATGGACAGTTACACAATATGCTAGTAAAGATGGCTGTATCATTGGGTTTTTTTCTTATGAAACAATGTGAAATGCATATGGAAACTAGCTTCATCTCTGTCACAAAAACCAAGCAGACAGTTGATATTTCTGTAGTTTTTAAGGCAAGACAAATCTAAAAAGAAACACATTAGGAATAATGAAAATCTTTCAAACTGGAAATCTGGGAACACAGGCTGTGGGCTCAGAAATAGCTCTCAGGTTTCTTGGCTCCTTATTCTTCATCAGCTATGCCAGGCAGGTGGTGAATGGCAGCCCTGAGGCCTAAGCCCTTGACCAGAAGCAGTTACCTCATGATAAGCAGAATCAGGATGGGGAAATAGAGCCATGGACACAGTTTTTCCTCTGCTTGGGTTTGGGCTTTCCTGTCAGGTCATCAATTATATTATTCCTTATATCCATGTATTTCTTCTTCCTCTTTTTCCAGGTTGTGCCTGCTGAGTGTTGGAGGTGATGAAGTGCACATGCTGTTTGCCTCTCCTGCCAAGGATAGGTACAACGTGGTCATTCAGGACTGAGCATATTGCCAGTACACGTTCCTCCCCAGGTGGTGAAGCGAGCAGTCGAGCACTGTGCTAGTCATAGCAGCACAAGTTATTACATACCAGCTCTGCCTTTCCGTTGGATATTTCCTACATGTTCATGGTAAGAATCTAATTATTTTTCCATCTCCAGCAAATCTAATAGGCCCAGAGAAATGTTTTCGTGTAGGCACTAAGAGTAAGGAGAAAACAGGTAAGATCCTAGGCCATCAGGGACTGAATCTTTTCCGTTGTGGGTTGCTTCTTGAATTCGTCTGAAAGAGCTTTCATTTTATTTAAAAAGCTTTTATTGATTAAAAAAGGCTTTGTTCATAGGCTCTATTTTCTTGAGTGGCTGAAGCAGGCTTAACTCATGACAGGAGTTCTTACTTGAGTTCATTTTCATCATCTTGGTTGGTGCTAAATTTCATGCTATGCTTCTCCATAAAGGTAACTGGAAAAGAAGCACCCGGTTTAGAGATAGAAAAGAAGTGTAGGTTTCCTTCCAGTCCATTAATTTTCTTTCATGGAGCTCTGTACCACTTTGAGCGCACAATTGGGAGGAATCAAAACACAGACATCCAGACCATTACGTAAGATCAAAAAGAGAACAGATTTATTTGGAAGCTGGGTCTAATGTATTTGTCCGAAGTCATGGACATTTTTGAGAGCTCAAAACATTCTTCCTGTTCTGCCTCAGGATGAAACTTAGATCATATGAACTGGAGAGAGATCCCAAAATATTTGAAGCTGTTTAAGTAACCGTAGACCTAATTCGGAGTCCTCACTGAGTGAGGCCAAGCAGGGATTTGAACCTGATTTTTATGCGTGCTCTTTTTTTCTCTTTCCTCCTTTTAATTTGAAGTTCCAGCTTATACTGAAGAAACTGTCCCCGTGGATTTCATAAAACTGGATTTATCCAGGTCAGACACTTAGGATTTTTTTTTCAAGTGACCCAGTGTTTTGTGTCCAACCACCCCCATTCCTGATATAAACAAATGATTCGGCTGTGGAAATTTCCATTTAAAAAATTCCCTACGTTTTGCCTCAGAATGGTATTATTTTACAACAGTTCAAGTTCAAACTCTTCCTAACTGAACCTCTGTATAACGTAAAAGACAGCGAGCAAGGGGACCGTCCAGGCTAGGAAGATCTAGTATTTAGGGAGAGCAAACATCCATGTATGCGCATCCAACCACAGTGGATGGCTTTGCTGGGTTCACTGACCTCTTGTAGTCTGGATACATGTCTATTAGGAACAGGCTAGAAACTGGACTGAGTTCCTTCTGCTGCCAGTCAGTTGCAGTCCTGAACAGAAAAGGAAACACCAGTTTTTCTTCCGTAGTCCGGATGCTGACTCACCTGTGTGGTGAAAGAAAATAGCCAAAGGGTTGCTATTTCACCAGTGTCCCAAGTGCCTGGGGTTATTTCATCAGCTGCTTTACTTGGGCAAGTTGAACTGCAAAGCTTTAAGGCCCGAGGCCAGTTCAGTAGTTACTCACACTTGGTCATGCGCTTGGTGCCTTGGTGTCTGAGGTCCCCACCACTGATAAGTGAGTTCTATTTCCCAGTTTGGTTTGAAGCTCTTGGCAACAGCTAGTTGTTTTGCATTGGTGTTTCACTGGTGCATGGTGTCAACACAAGCCCATTTTGCTCGTAGCTGGAAGCACATTCCAACTCATCTGCCTCTGCTTCGTCTGGCTCCCGGTCTTGACCTGGTCTGCGGTAGCGCCTGGGAGCCGTGCCACTGCTGCTCTATTTCACTGCCCAACAAAGGGGTTTTGGTGGGGTGGGAAGAGCCAGGCTGTCAGGGATGCACAAGACAAATGAACCACTATTCCTGAATGCCTGAAGGCTGGCAGTGACCAAGCAGCACTGTTATGGTAGCTGAATGGCATCGGCCATCCTGGTTCAAGCCAGGGAAACTTTCTCTGGCCTTGTGGAGTGTTTCCATGCTCGTTGCCTGCCCTAGAAGGCCCTCAGACCAAACAAGGTTCTTAAAGCTTGCTGGGAGAGGGCATCAGTTCAGGTACTGCAGGAAAGAAGATTCTTCCCCTGCTATATACCTTTTCTTTATGCCCTAATGAGTACCTGAGCTGGGGACACTGGTTCAGACAGGCTACCAGAAGGGAAGCTTGCTCTGTGCATCTAGATCAGTGCTCGCGCGGGACACCGATGGTCCTTGAGTCATGCTGGTTTGCCTGCGAGGTCAGGGTCTGAGCTTCTCATCAGGTAGAGACTGGTCTGAAGTTAAGGAGTAGAACGTGCAGCGTCTGCCTTTTGCCTAGAGCTCACTGCAGTGCTGCTTTGCTATCTGTCTGCCATCTATGCTCACCTCTGCAAGTGTGGCCAGGGCAGCTAATCCCTGCTTATCTGAATGCAGAGACATAGGCAGCAAGAGATTTAATGCAAATGTAGCATTGCGCAGCCCGTTCCTTCTCACAAACTATTGATTACGTGTCTGATTTGCTCTCCCCTGATAATAGGCCATAGGCAGAAGCCAATAGTGCGGGGAGGAGGAAAACCTGTCATGATCATTCGATGCAGCTGGTGAGCCAATGGGAGGAGAAAGCCCGTGGATTGGGCTGGGAGAGAGCAAGGGTGGGGGAACTGTCTTAGCAACAGCAGAAAGCAACTCTTTCCCCCTCCCACCCTGCAGCCATGCTGGAAAGTTCCTGGTGATGTTCCTTAATGTATTTGTCTCGCTCGTGCCAAGTCTGTACGTGATGTATGTGGCTTTGCCGCGTGTGCCAGCTCACCCTTTTCTCCATGGTCCTTTGAAAGGGAATCTTTCCTTTGTCCGTCCATCTAAAACCAACTAGTGAGCTCAAGGTAAAGGGCTCTGCTGCTGGATTCATTGCTGTGCAAGCCCTGAGAACAAAAGTGAGTTTTATACTGTCTTTTTGTGTTTGGTATCTTCCTCTTGACATCTTTCCAAGACAGTCTCGTGTTGAAACAGTCAGTTTCTTGCCAGTCTGTTGAGACAGTGGGAGCTGGACACCTTGATTGTATTTTCATCTCTGCTAAAGAGTCCTTATATGAAGCTGGGTGAATCCCTATCCTTCAAAATCCAGATCACTTTGTCGTGTTGCTGGTTTGGGAATTAGTAAGAAAAGATTCCTCAGTTAAGCCCTCCCTGTGATCTGTGGGCTGAGAAAAGGCAGTCCAAGGCACCATACTGCTTTGCCTCTTATCTTTCATCTGCCTTACAGCAGGAAATGTTCTTTCTGTCTCTCTGCCTCTCTCATGGTCAATCTCTCGTTGGTTTAACCAACCAAAAATGAAAATGACAGTTAAATTCATCCAAACCTTTTGAACATTTATTGGAGCCAAACACTGGCACTTTCAACACTTCCTTGAAAATGCCCTTCATTGTCCTCCTCTCACCTGCTGCCTCCTCCTGCTCATAAGCATGCACACGTTTATCTCGCTATTTGCATGCTGATAATAGACATAGATTTTGTTAGTCCTGCATCTGTCGAGACGGCGGGGACAATAATAGAAGCACCGTCGGGACCAATATATATTGGTCTTAGGAGTGTGTCCAATAATGTCTGGGTCAGGGAGCCTTTAACTGCAGTGTCAGGGAATTTAGTCAGCTGTCATCGCTTCTTAATTAAAAATAGCTGAGACTCACTTACATTCCATTGCTGTGTGTTAGCTCATTTGTCATCTTGTCCTCTGCTCAACAGCAAACCCCCTAAACACCTTCAAAACCAGACAATGGGCAGAAATGCTTGCAGCAGGTAAGAAAAGGGAGCACAGAGCAGATAACGCATGCCATAAGCTGCTCTTTGGGTCACGAGTTTGCAAGAGTTCAGCAGGATTCAAAGGGGATGGGGATGCATAACACTGCAGTATGAAATGTACTGTATGTGTATCTATTTTATATAAATAAAACTAGCCTCTACAGAGACATGTGTCAGGAAATAAATCCAACAGTAAATGTCGTGGGGTTACCACAAACTTTCCTCGTGGACAAACCAACTTCTGTTTTTCCATCTTGAGTTTCCAGCACCTTCCCCTGCTCCAGTACTCCCAATGACAGTGTTTCTTCAGGATGGTCCAGCCAGACCTTTCCTATGTACATAAGTGATTGGATTCCTAATTCCTCACTAAATGGAGTTTAGTGGTATTTGTGATTGCTATCACCTTCCAGTAGGTTCCACTAATTTATTCCTGAGGGGACAGGGAGATGGGAGGTTACACAGAGGTTCAGGAGCTGCAGAGGGAAATGAATAACATGCTGTAATATCATTACTGAAAGAAAATGCATCTCCCTCCCCCTGCCAAAAAGAAGAATTTATTGTGATTCTAGCTAATGCTTGGAGCCAAGGGACAGTTTTGGCATAGGGAGAATTATTCTGGCTTCCTTTTAACAAGTAAATCAGAGGTGGAAGGGCATTAGACCAACTAACTTCCTGAAGTGGAAGTTGTATCCGGATTACCATATTTAATTGTCTGTGATTGACCTATCTTCCATGAATTTTGCTAATCCATTTTTGAACCTGTTTATAATGTTTGGCCTCCACAGCATTGGGTGATGATGAATCCCACCATTAAATCACATATTGTTTGAAAGAGTTCATCCAGGATGTCCTGTACAATTCTGTTAATCTCTCCAGTGAGTAAATAGATGGCTGTTGCCAGGGTTTGAGATTCCCTCAGCCAAAATAGGTGATAATTCCCCTTGAGACTACATCCATCCCTTACACTCGAGAAGGGAAGCAGCACCAAACTTCCTGTGTTTCACTACCCGTCTTGAGCTGCAAGGGACCAGTGTTTGCTCCCACAGAGCAGCTTCTGCAGTCCCAGTATTAAATGGCGATTCTTCTGACCATGCATAGTTGTTTCCCTCAGCACCGCATCCCTGCTGACTTGACTGAAGATCCAGTGATAACTGTTGATGTTCTAAGAATGTTGTATTTCCTTCAGAGGGGAAATTCCCATGCAGCTTGTGGGATAGACCCACATTAAGATGCTCTGTTCAGTCCGGTCAATTATTTTGGATCCAGTACAATAAAGCTGTAGGGATAGACAGGGGTTTGACTCAATATTGTCTGGTGATTTTGAGGTGCGCTGGTACAGAAGCAACAGGTAGAACCTCATCTGAACCCCAAAGCATCAAGCTAAGGAGAAACCTTCCTGTTAGTAGAGACGTTTTCAGACTGCAGAATTCTTTATGAAAACTAATTAAGCTCTGATGACTTCAGCTGTATTTTCAGCCTCTGATTAAGGCCATGATACTAATTAAACTCTTGAATTATTAAAAATGCAAATAGTCAGACCTGTGTGCAATAGCAGAGTCACTTTTCCATGCTCCGGGACAGCAGTGGGAATATTTGGCAGGGTCCCTTGTGGTCACAAGTTTTTTCTTTTCTTCTTTTTTTCCTTGTCTCGTTATAAGTGGCTGCACTCCACTTGATGCAGAACTGAAAACTTCAGCTGCTGGGGTAAATGTCTCCACTGCCTTGCAGCTAGACAAGTAGGTTTGATTAAAACCCAGCAAAGTTTTGGAAGGAGCTCTGGGTTTCGTGACATCCTGACTGTGGCATTTTCACTGAATGGGCTGTTGGGATTGAAATACCATCTAGTCCTTAGAGAGCGAGCCCGCTTTCAGTAGCAAAACTCTTGCAGCTGTGTTTAAGCTGCCTACTTTGTAGTCATAGTTCAAAAGCATAATCAATTATTTAGACCTCTAGCTGTCCTCCCACATCCACTCTCCCTGCTATCCCCTACAACATGCATGCACCTCCAGTTGAGACATCTACATCAGGAGGTCTGATTGTGGCCTTTCCTTCAGTCCAGGTATGTTTTGGTTGTGGCACTACTCCACAGCAAGGTATCTGAAGAACGTTTTGATCTCTTCACTGTCGACATCCTAGCAGGCACGCAGCACCTCTTCTGAGTAACAGTCATCCTTGTGTACAAATACATCTTTTGAAGTAGGATTTCTGTAATCGTAAGAAGGGCTCATCTCCAGATGGATAGCCCTGCAGACGCACTATTAGCTGGTCATTGAGGTAAGATGGACTTCTGTAGGCTGGGAGCTGAGCGAGCAAATATTGCCTCTCACTGTCTCACCAGCATTGCTGTGTTAGATGCATCATGGAAATGTTTGTGTTTATTATATTGTATAAAGCCATGAGGTCCAGCAATAGCCTGAGTACCACTCCTGCATCAGTGCTTATACTCTAGTCAGTCTTCTGGATGCGCAGCCCTTCTAGTGGAGGCAGTGTCTGTGTCCCATCCTGTAGCCCTTTTGCCTTGCCATTATGGAGGCTCTGCTGGATTTGGCAGTGTTTGCCGCCAGTACCAGCTGGGATATTGGAGGGATATGCCAGTAGGCAGTCTAGTTATAACTTGCCCAGAGGGAGATTTCTTTCTAGAGCCTAGTTAGTTCATAATAAAGACGTAAATTAAAAGAAGGTGCACGAGATACTATTCAAACGCAGCAAGTGCATGTCACATGCAAGGAACTGAAATCCTTGCTGGTGTGAAGTGACAACAATTCACTAGAGTTACTTACCACAGAAATATACAACCCAGTGCCCACAGTTGAGTCCAGTCAATGGCAGGTGTGATGGTGAAGCTATGTAATTTCTTTTGCTTCCCTTCTTGATTGTCCCTCTTGTGTGTTAAAACAAAGAGCGAAGTGGTCATTACTTTACCTATGACAAGTGATGGTTTTTCATCCCCCTGCTCTAATGGGCTGCAGGTGTCTCCCAGCCAGCCCAGGCTAATAAGGACAGACATTCTGGCCACAGGCCAAAATTATACAACTGTCCATGGAGAGAAGAAAAGCAAAAGACAAGGGGTGGGGGTGAGGGGGTTGGAAGGAAAGCAAAAGAAAGCATGGGAGTCACTCCATGCTGAGATTTTGTACTTTTGTGTCTCCTGAAGTGAATACATCAGTCAGGAATCAAAGGTTTGCAAAGTCATTCAGCCCCTCCAAATTAGAAGGCGAACCATCTGCACGACAGGATGGAGCTCTCCTCAAAGGCTGCAGGCCAGGGCTGATCTCAGTGACACCAGGGTAAGCCTGGAGTATCTCACCAGAGTTACAACCAGCTCACCCGGGATCTCAGATTCTGGCCTGGTGCATGCATCTTCCTGCCAGAATAACGTTTTGGACCCAGCCCTTTAATGTTGTATCACCATAGTGACGGGCTCCTCTGTTCCAGAGCTGATGAGGAATCACTGTGGGGTTGTCCAGTGTTAATTAATCCCTTTTAGGCAAAATTCAAGCTCAGTGGAAACTGCAAAGACAAGGCAACCCATTCAGAGCCCTGCAGCCTCTCACCCTCTTTGATTTTAGCAATATGTCTTGCCCTTAAGTCCCGCATGCCAGAGCAAATCCCTTGTGTTTCCTAGAAGTTAGAGCAGTGATGGGAAGTCAGTGGGAAGGAAAGATGTGCTGTGTGGGGACTGAAGATATACGTGTGTCCTTACAGCTTTACAGACAGTGCTGTTTGGAAAGACTGGGTTGTCATGCAGGCTTCCCAAGGTGCTGCATTTTTGGGTGTGAGCCAGACAGCAGCCAGGATAACCAAGCACAAAGGAAGAGCTAGGTCTGAGGCACTGGCTGGCTTGAATTGCCCCAAAGCGTTGTAACTGATGGTGAGAGATGGAAATGTCCAAAGGTACCAGTCTCAATGCTGATTACCTGAATGTCTTGGGGATGTCCCTCACCTGAACTACCTCAGGCAGGTCCCTAAAGTTAGATGTGTCCAGGCCTAAGGGCACATCCATGGGGAGAAAGGGATCCCAAAGTTAGTCCTGACTTCAGTTAGCCACAGCACAAGGTCACAGAGATGCTCTGATCCTGATTGCTAGACTGCTAATCTAAAACCAACCAGACTGCATCTTCCTCTGTGCTGCTCAGGTTTCTGGCTCTGGAATAGCTCTCAAACACAACTGGAATGCAGATATACTCTTGAACTGCATCCTGAAAGATGCCAAAAGACGTTACCCAACCCACCAAAATGGTTTGGGGTCCACATATCATAGTAATGGACACATCTGAGGTAAATTTACTTCACTTGATTTAACATGACAGATCCCAACCACCGTTTTCTCCTCCAGATTTGTTTGGAGCTAGGATTTGGTTCAGGCCAAGTGTTTTGTTTTGTTTGTTTATCCAAGATATGGTTTTGGATGCTTAGCAGGAAGGAAAAGAAAAAGCCATAACTGATGGATGTTAATTATGTTCATTTCAGATCTCCTTTTGGCAGCTGGAGGAGAAGGGAATGCCACCACAAAGGAAGGATTACTGAGGCAAGGTTCACATTGTATTCAAAGGGAACACAAGTGTTGTGCAATACACATGTCACCACCACGACAGGTCAGTCCCTTTTCCCTCGAGTCACTGTCAGAGTTCTGTGAGTAGCATCCATGATAACTTAGCCCCTGCATACGGATTTAATGGTGATAAAAATGGTGCTAGATGGAATGTTTTATAGTATGCAAATGGTTGATGAAAAGGAGTTTCCAAAAGTGCTTTGTGATGAGGCAGACTGAGTCAGCTTTGACTTCTCTGCCTTTTTGGATGACCTTTGGGTTTTTGCCTCAACCTGACCGGGTAGGAAAAATCTGTGAATGCTTGTTGTGCTGAGCACACTGTGACATCTCTGAAAGTACAGATAATAACAGTGGCAATGAACAGCAGCTTGTCAAACTCTTTTGTGATGACTTGAATTCTTTTACTCTCTGCTTCACCCCTTGAAGTACCCAGTTCTTTGATTTCTGCCTTTGGATGCCAGTAATGTGTACCTAAGACTGGGGCAGTTCCTAGGAAATTGAATGCAATTTGATTTCTTTGGAAGAGTTTCAGATAGGGTCAGGTAGGGCTGGTTCAAACCTGTGTCTTGGATGAATTCAGAAGTTATTCCCTAATCTGGCAGTCAGGATTTGAATCTCCTCATTAGAAATTTAAGTTCTTTACAGTTCCTGTAACTAGGACTCAGTTTTTGGTGGCTTCCTGGTGCTTTGGTCATTCCTTCAACATGGTTTTATGTATACTCAGCTGCTGAGAAGCCAGTGTAAGCCATTAACACTGCATATTTGTGGCACTAAGACTGAAAACTCTTTAGGTGTGTAGTGTTTTATAGTGCAAGTGCACTAGAGCCATTCTCATCTCTTGTATGTGCAAAATCCTTGAATATCCTGTATTACTGTCCAGACCCCAAACCAGTTGAAGACTGGTTCTATCTAACATTGAGCATGTGGCTAGGCTGCCTGGGACACAGTCCTGGCTTCTCCGCATACCTTAGGGTGAGTGGAGAGGAATAAATGGGTGCAGAAGGCAGCTCAAGCTTCAGGCAGATTGAATACTGCTATGAGAGAGTCCATCTCTCTTGCTGATCATGTCAAGAGCTGAGAGCGTAGCAGAAAGGGGATGGGTTCAGGGCACTGCTGTGCAGGCTTTGAAACATGCTGCAGAGAATGATGCCATATCTCTGTATGGAGTGTCCTGGTTTGGGAGCTGTTGTGGAGATGGGATACAGAACTGCATGTATATTGGGTGGCAGGGGCATTACTTCATTTTCTTTTCTTCTTAAGCTTATCTGAGGGGAGGAAACCGTAGACCTTATCTTTTTCTGAGTGGAAAAACTAATCTCAAGTACATACGTTTGAAGCTAGCAACAGCATGAGCCAGGTTAACTTGACTAAATAGGCACATGAGGCCACAAAATCTGACTGAGCCTAATTAGAAACCAGGATGCCTCCCAGCACTTAAAGGTTTCTTTTAAGATTATGATGAGCTGACAAAACATATTAGTGAGAGGTGGAATTGGTATGAGCCATGTTTGGCATTTTACTACTTAATGACAGCAACAAGAAGCCCTGTATAGAGATCAGAGCCACACGTGCACAAGCCTGGATTAATTCATGCCACCTACTTTTTGGTGTTTAACACCAATACCTAAGTTAGTTGCACAAAGCTCTCAGAGTCCATGGGATGGACTGTGTCACCTTTGGAGATGCTGCTCATCTTCTGTGGAGCCCAAGAAGACTGTGCCATTAACCAGGCATCTCAATGAATTGCCTGCACTTGGTTGGCATGAATGCAAGCCAAGATGTGGTGTCCGCTCATCACAGTGAGACAACACAAAGCCCAAGTGCATTGAAAAGGAGAATAGCGGGTTCTCAGAATTGATTTGTAGGGGAGAGGGATTGCAGTGCGCTGGCTGTTGAATGCTGCTGGGTAGTTTGCAAGCACTGGTGAGGGTTTAGAGTTGAAGGAAAGTGCATGGCAGTAGTTTTATGTTTCTTTCCAAGGATGTATTTCGCTTTGGGGCAGCACTCTCATTACCACCACTAGCCTGGATTCCTCTGCCCATCGCATTAATACAGGCGGTGCACTGCCTCTGCTTGTGGGATCAAGCCATCAGTGCTGGAGCGGGGCCGTGAAACTGTTGTGTCTGAGCACAGCCAGGCTGCCAGCGAGAAGCAGGGCTGATTGATGCTGGCTGACGGTGGGACCTATTGCCTCCTAAATGCAGTCCTCTCCATCCCATGCCAGCAGGTGCTTTGCCTATCTGGGCACTGCCAAGTTTCCTCCCGCTGTTCTCCTGAGTTCCAGTATTTCATCTTTGCCCGTGCTGCTGTTTTCCATCCCTCCGCCTCGTTCCCAGCCCTTGGTGTCTGTTCAGAGACTCGGTCTCATTTGCTGTTGTCCTGGTGCCAGAATTTCAAGTCCAAGGCGATGGAGCTGCAATGGGAGGACTCATGCTCGCTGGCTCCACCGTCTGGACCTGGCCCCAGCACAGAGCTCAGCAACCCCTAACAGGTCCCCTTGCTTTCTCTCCAAGAATATGATTAGAGGTTTGAAACTGAGCAGACAGCTGGTATACTCTCCCAGGGCAGCCTCTGTGTCTGGGCCTCCATTGTTTTTGTCCAAATCATATCTGATTTCTTTCCAAAAACGTTTCAGTCCGTAAAAACCAGACCAGGTGCCTTTGGTTGTGCTCATTCCTGAAATACCAGCTACAAACAAAAGCATTTTGGGCTGGTCTTAAAATGGGTACGAAATCTGTTTTGAACTGGGATGGCTTTTATTTCCCAATTAAAGCATTTGAATCTTCCCTTATGATTTCCAGATAGGAAACTGCCCTTGTTCTTATACCTGATTTACTGCATCCTCTTTTACTGGATTACACAATTGCTTTGTGCCATGCTGCAGTCTCTGAAAGCTCACCCCTATACACATTCTTTGCACCCTGACATCTCAGGTATTTTACATAGAGTAAAACTACCAGATTTTTGGTTTTGCTGCAATAAGCTTTCCAATTTTGCTCGGCAATTTGCCAGAATAGAGGAAAAATTAGAAGAAACCTTACCAGCCAAAATTGGTGGAAGTGTTTAAAAGCTCGGGTGGCCTCTGAGCTGAGGTTTAGTTCTGCATCCCTGTTAACTGCCAAGCTAAGTGCTTTGTCCTCCAGACTGTCCTTCGTCTAAACAGCATGAGCAGTACCACTGGCACCAGGGCTACGGAAGGGCTCCTGATGCTGCCAAGAAGATGGGCCCTCGTTACGGAGCGGAGATCTGCCAACCTTCTGTGCTGGGGAGTTTGCAAACTTCCACAACGCATCTGTTTTATTTCAGACCATGGATTGCACTGAATAGTCCTTTTGTGTGCTCTGTCTCTGACTACTAAAACTGGCTCTGAAGACACCAGAGATAAATATGACAGCTACTGTTATAGAGTATCCCCTGGATACCGTGGCCTGACCTGTACCCACTGTCTATCTTAACGTTGTCAGTAATAATGTTTATATTGCTGTGTCAACTTCATTTCTTATCATGTAACCAGAGAGAGACCAAATGAACGTGGAAAGCTTTTCTGTACCTCTGCATTCAGGGTCATTTAGAGGTTCACAGATGGGACAGGCACTTTGCCACTGAGCTGTTTACCCTGACAAATGCCACGATGTTGTGTGTATCATTCAAGGGAGAAACAGCACTGTTTGAAATGCTAGGAGAGCATTGCAAGGGTAGACTGAACGGCACGACTGCAGATTGGCAGGTCTGCCTACCCACAGTATGTGGTGTTACAGCAGGTTTCGCAGAGGTAGGCTCTGTCCACGTTTCCTGTGGGACATTACCTTCCAAACTTGCACAGATTCTCTGCGTGGGTTCAGATAGATACACTAACACTAACCGTGGCTTTGTGCACTGTGCATGTTCATTGTTAAGTTGGCTTCATTTTGCATTGTAGAAATGAATACCCTTCAATGGCAGGGGAAATGGATTTGTGTATCTACCCCTGGATAAAGGTGTGTTTGCATACAACTATATCAACAGCCAGGGAATGCGAGCATTCCTGTACCTGGCATAGTGTTTGTCATTACCTGCCAGGGAGTGCCTGGCCCCAGCGAAGTGGTTGGAGTGAAAAGGAAGACTGTTGCATTACACCTCTGTGCAGCAGGTCTTTGATGTCTGAATAAGGGTTTCCATCAGTCGATCTTGTCTCCAGAGAGTGGGTACTTCGGAAAATGTGACCCATTTCATTTGTATTGAAGCATAGGCAGCAGAAAAAGGCATGCTTATGCCTCTAGTGCTAGCAGTTCAGTTGCTGGAGTGTCACCAGTTCAAGACATCACCCAGCCAGAGCCGCTGGGAGCCCAGCTCTCCCTGTGCTGTCTCTGGACAGTGTTTGACCAGACTGTTTTTATCTCTCTAGTCTGTCTGTGGGAGTTGAATCTTTGTACAGAGACTGCATTGCTTGGCATCTAATCTGCACTAGTTGACTCAGTCAGCCTCAGAAGGCAAGGGGGGGAGGGAGATAAGTGGGAGGAAGAAAGGTGGGAGTGGAAAATAACATATTTGAGGGGACAGCAGGAAGCCTGGGCTCATTCGCATCTTGGGAATTGCTCAGGACATGACCAAGTGAGTGTTTCCTGATCCCCTCTTTTTTTGGTTGTTTCTGTTCCACTGTGGGCCAGGAAGAAAGGATAAGCAGTAGGGCACAACTGGTGGAATGCCAGCATGGGTTATGCCCTTAGGAAGTGTCTCGAGAAAGCCAAGTGTCCCAGCTGGGTGGTAACCTTGACCCTCCAAAATAGCTTGGTTGCAAATGTTTCCTTTATATTCCTTTTTGCGCTACCTGGATTTCCACTGAGGACCACTTATTCAGTCCAGTCCTTCCTTACGCCTTGAGAGGAGTTCTCTGCACGGGGGACATTTTAATACACATTTGCTTGTTACTGTTTGCTTTTTCTGTGGAGAAATGGATCAAAATGGAGACTAGATGAGGTTCTTTGGTGAGGGAAAGGAAGTAAGAGAGAGCTCTAAAAAATACAAACCATTACTGCTTTGGGACAAAGGGATGGAGTTATTTCG